TAGGTTGGTCCAAAAATAAAACATTTTATATCATTGTCAATAAAAAATATATCTAAAAATTTTTTTTTTTGGTATAGTCTAATTTTTAAGGGAGTTTGGCCTATTCAGCAAGTTTGACTTATTAGGTATGACACACACACACACATGTATATGGTATATATAATATCTGTACGTATCGCTGTGCATGTCTTGCAGGCATGCACACACACACTATGTAGATGTTTCTTTATCGTCACAAATATATTTTTATGAGACGTGTATGCACTGTACATTTCATTTCACTTTTCACTTTGAGGCACAAAGGCAACACAGTACACAATGCCATGGGTCACTGGAACATAATGGCAGCCTGCCTCTTACAGCTTTCATGTTGCTGCATTACATAATAACTGTCCATTTTAAGGATTACATTGTATTTGCATGTGTTACCATGATGATGCTGTGTAAGCATAAATCATATTTTAAACTTTGGGTTTTTTATTGTAAGTTATCATAATCCTGTTTCCACAGTTAGAGAGTTTTGAAGCACAAATAAATATGTATGTGTAGATGGGTATGAGGGTAAATGTGGCTCATCAGTATCTTCCAGTGGTCCACTGAACTCTTAATACAGTTATGAGTTCAAGGGCAAATAAGGTACGAGTCCTGCAAGGGTTTATAATTGTTTAATGATATGCTCCTCTATATAAACTTAGGGTTTATTATTAACAGAGGGAATTATATAATTAAGTTTCATATCAATACCCTCAACTGATGGCAAAGTAAAATTAGTTACAAGAAACTGCAATGATAATTATAAATTATCATATATATATATATATATATATATATATATATATATATACACATATATATATATACACATATATATATACACATATATATATACACATATATATATACACATATATATATATACACATATATATATATACACATATATATATATATATATGCAATACATTTTCAGATACAGTACTGTACTACTATGCCAGTTTTTCTGAGTTTTCCCTGGATTGAAGCAAAGTCACACTTTGAACTAAAATATACTTGTGCAGTGACTGTGAAAATATGACTAACTTTAACTTACATATTTGAGGATAGTATTGTTTTTATTAGCAAACATGAGTCCATTATATTATCTCCACAAGGCTCATGACAGAACTGTATTTTCAGAGATTAAGAGAGAGCCTCATGGATGTAATATTGCTTGGTCATATCTGCAGACACTGCCTATGTAATGAGCAGTTACAAGGATTATAATCTTCACTCTTCTGAGACTGATAAAATTTACTCATACTTATTCAATATTGAAATGTCTTCTGCTTACTGTATCTCACAGCAATATAATTATGGCATTCAACTAGTATGATCCACTCAATGTTATCACTTAAATGGCAAGAATCCACTTGACTGATAAGTCTGTTACACCCACACGCATACATGAAGGGGGTACCATATATATTGTAGTAGCTATTCCTAACTAACTGTGATACCATATTAGTTCATTTGAAGGCATTTCAATTATATATTATCTAGTCTATGCAAGTGGAAAACCAGTTACACATTTAAATGTACTTCTAAAGCCTAAATGCACTTCAAATCACAATGTTATTGAAAAGATCATGCCATTTTGCCATTTGCCATGTAATCAAAGCACAGCCAGAAGCTTGAATAGTATTTTTGTTACATAGTATGTATCACGACATGGCTAGTTGCCGTGTGTTATGCTATATTATAATATCTGAGAACAGTGCTTTCCTCATTAAAAATAAAACTGATTACATATTCAATTAACAAATTTCATTCAGGTTTTGTTTTGTCACAAATTTTTACCCATAGACACATAACACTGGAGAGTAAAATAAAAGATTCATGAGTAATCTTGAAAGCAATGAGCACTAATTCTTCATTCAAGTGACTCTTGCTCATATAGGCCATGGCCAAAATGTTTTACATCACAATATTCATAAGAGTCTACTTATATGGGTATACAAAATGGATTCTCTTACCTCCATACATTCAGGACAAGAAACAAGATCTTAATCCAAACATGCTTTATACAGTATATGATTTATGACTAATTTTGCATCTTCTCATTCGTCTATACTCCACATTCAAACCCACAACATGCTTCGCATGGTTTTACAGTGTTAAAAAATTTGAGAATGTCTGCCACTCGTTTATCACGAGATTAGAAACAGGGTTTAGTATTTGCATGTCTTTGAGCTGGCAAAGAAAGAAAGTAGCATTCTCAGTTAAAGTATATTTGTTCAAGAAGGTTGGTGACACTCGCATTTCACAATTTAGATAAAAGCAACAAAATGATAACAGCAGAATTTTCTTATGCTTTCCTGGGTCCACTCATACATGTTTCTAGAGTAGCTGTGGTAATTACAAATTTAACAGCTGCACACGTTAAAAAGCACTATATATACTGTGGAGTTTCTTGGCCAGTTAAAAGGCGGAAAATTGAAGTAGGCATTGTTTTCATTCGTATCTGAAAAAAAAGGATGAGAATATTTTGATAGATAATTTTCACTAAGACAAGAAAATACAGCATATAAATAATATAATAGGCATTGTGGAAAAAAGCTCTACTACAGAACTTATATGATGATAATACTGTATAAGATTAATTCTATCATAATAGGCTTGTCATCAGACAACTAATGTATTTCAGTTGCTGCACAAGACTGAATTAGTGCAGATTGCAGAATAAGTTGATAATTCAGTTAAATATTATTATAATCAAAAAGAAGCCCTAAGCCACAAGGGCTATACAGCGCTGCAGGGTACTGGGCGGCAGAAGGTTACAGAAAACAACGGGGCAGGGTAGAGGGTAGGTAGCAAGAGATCGAGGTAGAAAGGGGTGACGTTATCATCAGAGTTTGTGAAGTAAGTCAGTTGTTGTCAAAGTCAATGAGTCCGGATGAAAGGTAGGTCCATCAGCGAGAAGGGAAGGTAAAGAGAGAGCAGCGGAGTGAAGACGACGTTGGAGGTAAATTCTGCGTGCTCGTTGATAAAGTGGGCAGTCTAAGAGGAGCAGGGCGCCTCTCCATGAGCAAGACGAGTAGTCTCCCAACCTCGGCACTGGTGACAAGAAGACGGCCAGTAACCTATACTCGGTTTAACAGATTGAAGTTTGTTACCGAGTAGAGTAGACCGACGTTGTTGCCAACGGGTGTGAAGGTGGGTAGCTATTGCAGCAAAATAGTCCGTAAATGGAGCACCTCTATATGGAACTGGTAGGTCATGTACCGCTGACCGCGCAGCAGTGTCTGCCTGTTCATTGCCCTGTACGTCAGCATGACCAGGGACCCAATAAAAAACAATATCTTTATGCTTGGTAGTGATGCGGCGTAGCCAAAGTTGGATACGGAGGACTAAGGGGTGAGGTGTATCAAATTTCTGTATAGCCTGTAAAGCACTAAGGGAGTCTGAGACAACCACAAATGATGACACAGGCATAGATGCAATACGGATCAGTAAAGATACTAGCCGAAGATAGTAAATGCCCTCGTACGATGCTGTCCGGAAACACTGCAATGGCATGAGAATGGAAGTGGTCAAGAAAAAGAGAGCGGGAAGCTACCGTAGACAGTTGGGCTTCCGAGCAAGGGAGTGAGAAAGAACAGACTCGAACAGCTGGAACTTCCCAGGGGGTAAGGAAAAGTGAGATGCTACATGAACATAGAAAGGTGGAAATTGAAGAGAAGACAAGAGTGTATGTAGGCGAAGAGAGAAGGGACGGAGCAAACGGGCGGCAAACAAATAAGGTCTACTAATATCGGTGACCATTCTATAAATGGAAGGATTGCGGAGATCATGAGAGCGTACATAGTAGCGAAGGCAATGGGCATCACGGCGATCGGATGGAATGTTCACTTCTGCATAGAGGCTCTCAACAGGGGAAGAGAGAAAAGCACCAAGGCAGCTGAATAGATCTGGTCACCATAGTCAAGTTTCGATAAAATGAGGATGGAATGTAGGCGAAGGAGAGTTCGGCGATCAGCTCCCCATGAAAGATGAGCAAGGGTTTTAAGAAGGTTCAGTCGGCTGTGACAAGTTGTCTTCAGAGAGGTAATGTGAGGTTTCCAGGATAACCTATGGTCAAAGAGGAGGCCTAGAAACCTGACTGTATCACGTTCAGGGATACAGGTGCCACAGAGGTATAAAGGATGATCGGAGATGACAGAGCGTCTAATGAAAGTAATTTGGCGAGTTTTGGTACTGGAAAATTTAAACCCATGTGTGGTGGCCCAATTGGAAACATGGTCGACCGCATGCTGGAGAGAAACTGTAATGAGGTGGCAGTCAGCGCCTGCACAGGCAATAGCGAAGTCATCAACATAGAGTGATGACCAAATATTGGATGGAAGACTAGAGGCCAAATCATTTATAGCAAGGAGAAAAAGTGTTGTGCTCAGAACACATCCCTGGGGGGACACCTTCAGCTTGGATAAAGTCTGGGGAGAGCACATTATAACACGGAAATGTCTGTCAGTTAAAAAGTTCTTAAGGAAGGATAGTAGATTGCCTCGAAAGCCCAAGGAGTGGGCTTGGGCCAGAATATTATACCTCCAAGTTGTGTCATATGCCTTCTCAAGGTCAAAAAATATGGCAACAACTGAGTGGTTATTCGCAAAGGCATTACGAACATATGTATCCAAGCATACACAAATAACCCGCACATAAAAGAGAGAAGCTTACGACGACGTTTCGGTCCGACTTGGACCATTCACAGTCAATGGTCCAAGTCGGACCGAAACGTCGTCGTAAGCTTCTCTCTTTTATGTGCGGGTTATTTGTGTATCGTTCCAGTCACGGTATTGTGCCTTTTTGTTATTTATGTATCCAAGCATACTAAGGGGTCTATGGTAGAACGGCCCTTACAAAAGCCATACTAACGAGTGGAGAGACTGTTGTGCGTCTCTAAATACCACACTAAACGTCTATTTACCAGGCGTTCCATCACTTTGCAAACTGCACTGGTAAGAGCAATGGGACAATAGTGGGAGGCTTCATGTCCCGAAGTACCCGGTTTGCGGAATGGGAGAACAATGGCAGATTTCCACAGCTGTGGAAGAACTCCTTGTGACCAAATAAGATTGAAAAGGCGTAATAGTACTGCAAGGGCTGACTGATGTAAATGTTGTAGAATATGAATGTCGTCGGGCCCAGCTGCCGATGATCGGCAAGCTGAGAGTGTTGCCTCCAGTTCCTTAAGTGTAAAAGGCACATTATACTGTTCTTCTCTGAGAGAAGAAAAGTCCAAGGGTGCTAACTCTCTGGCAGACTTTGAGGATGGAAACGAGGGGCATAGATGGAGCCCCTGAGAAATATGGACCAGATGATTGCCAATTTCATTGGCAACATCTAGTGGGTTTGCTATATCAACACCGGCAACCCTCAGAACAGGAGCCGGGTCAGGAGAATATTTACCACTCAGTTTTCGTACTTTTTTCCAGACTGCACTCATAGAGGAAGCAGAGGTGATGGTGGAGACATAATCTCGCCAGCAAGTGTGTTTAGTGTCACGGATGACACGGCGAGCGATTGCACGCTTCTGCTTAAAATCAAGAAGTCTCTCCATGGTTCTATTCTATCGGTACCTGCCCTACGCAGCGTGTTTTGAACGTACTGCACGAGCACAAGCAGGAGACCACCAAGGCACGCATTTCTGAGAATGCCTGCCCGAAGTTTGGGGTATAGAATGAGAAGCTGCGGTTAAAACGGAGGATGAGAAGTGTAAAAGCTCATCAATGGAGGACGAAGAAGGAACCTCACTAAAAACAGTTAGTTGTGAGTAAAGGTTCCAATTTGCCTGATCAAATTGCCAGCGTGGTTTACGAAGAGGTGGTGAATATGAAGGGGATAAAGATAAAGATACCTGAAATCCGCAGGTAAGGGTACCTACGGACTAGAAAAGTCCACATGTGGTGGAAGGAAAACGTTCAAGTAGCGAAGGAACGGTGCGTTGTGAAGAAAGGAGTTGCGCAGATGGAGAAGAGGAAAGAGAAGGAACAGTGTCCATTGATGGTTTGGTCTCTGCAATATATTCAGAGATTGCTTCCAGTGTTTCAGAGTTCAGAGACGTCGTATGGGAGAGAACATTGGAGATGGAAGGAGGAGGAGTTTGAGTAAAGATCGGAGCTGTAATGGACTGTACCAAGGTAGGGGGGGGGGCAAAAGGGTGGAGGGAACTGGAGAAGTGTGGGAGGGGACAGAAGAGGAAGAAACTTGGGAGGGGACAGGGAAGGAAGGCACAGTACAAGGAGGAGGATGAACCTCCAAACTTGTAACGGAGCCAGTGAAAGGGGAAGACCTAGGTACAGAGACTGGGAAGGTAAAATGTGTAGGTGGATGAAGGGAAGAAGGGGTTAAAGGAGATTTGTTGGACCTCTGAGAAGTAGAGGGACGACTGGGAGGAGGTGTCGTACGAGGTCTTGTCAGGTAGAACACGAAGAAGTGAGGACAGACTAAGGTGTTGAAGTAGGGATGTCTGAGCCCTGGACAGCAAAAGAATTAGATACAGAAGTGACTATGGGACTGGCAACCGCAGAGGAGCCTGCAGAAGATGGGACCCCAGAAGTGGGGGGACGTTTTGAAACACGAGAATAAGAAACACAAGGTAGTCTCCCTTGGAGGCGGAGATGAGAAACTGCCATAGCATAAGGGAGACCTTCTGCCTCTTTGAGGCAACGAATTTCCCGCTCATTTAAGTAGCCCTGGCAATGGCGAGAGTACGAAAGGTGAGCCTCATGACAATTAAGGCAAGAGGGAGGTCGACTGCAAGATGTATTAGAATGGTCATCGGCACCACAGACTGGGCATTCGGCTATAGATCTGCAATATTTTGCTGGGTGGCCAAATCGCCAGCAATTCCTACACTGTTGCGGTGTAGGTATCACCTTTCGAACTTGTAACTGATGTCCTGCTACATAAACAGAGGATGCGAGTTCACGGCTGTCAAGTTAAACGAGCCACATTGCAAGGGTATCGTCTTCGCCCGCGAGCGGGAAAAACATAAGTGTCTACCTTGAGAATTGGGAAATCTTGGAGTTCCAGCTGTTTGAGAATGTCATTGCCATATGTCTGGAAATTCTGTTGGACTATGGTATGGGGCAGAATAACAGTACCACTACAAGAATTGAGGGAATGATGTTTTTCGATAGTGATAGGAATAGTATCGATATGTGAAAGAAGAGAAAGATCATGAGCTTGGGTAGAATTCTGGACTGTGATGATGCGCATACCACTCTTAAGAGCATGAAAGGAAATATCTCTACCAACGTGGCGTAGGAGCGCTTTGCCAATACTATGGTCAGAAAGATAGGCAGTAGAAGAAGTCGGTCATAAAGTAAAGAATTTAGTCGATTGTGTGGTCCGAAACTGAGTGTGGAAAGCGGAGGTCAGACAAATCGAAGGAGTCAGTGAAAGCCCCGGTACCTGAAGCGGGTGGGGAAACAGCACCAGCAAGAGGTACAGGGGCTTTAG